CAATCACCAGTAATGATCAATACATCTTGATTGCAAGTTTGATCAATTTCAGATTGAAGAAGTTGATAGAATTCTTCTATTTCATCCTCACTGGCTTTAGTGGTTGGTGCGTACAACCACCACCAACACAGAATACCAGACCAAGCAGGCTCAGGGGATGGTGCTAGAAGTCTGAACCACATATAAAGGAATATTTAGATGTTTGGAAGTCTTACAGCTAGGGGAATTTGTAGCAGAGTCAAGAAATCCATTGCTTTCTAATTCAAGATGGTCAGCAGCTCCCGGAGCCGCCATCTTGGAAGAGACCAAGCAGGGGAAGAATCAGAACAGCCACGAACGCCTGATAGAACTGCGGTGATACAGGTGTAGACATTCTTTTTTTGGTATCTGTTCATTGGTCTCTGTCTGCGCACCTCCATTCTGGTGACTAGAGGGGATGCCTGAGCGAATGGACACCTCACCCCCTCCCCTGGAGGATTCTACTATGCATCCGCACAGATCTCGAAATTTAAAGTGACAGTTTCCACTTAAAACCAAATGGGCACCACTCGTCTGTCAGTTTGTCGTACTGTGGTGGCTTGTGAGTTGCTGTGATTATGAAAGCTAAGCCACTGGTATTTTAAATACCAGCAGGGTCACCCATGGCTGACAGGTTTCAGATGAGCTTCCAGACAAAGACAGACTAGGAAGAAAGAGTGACGAACTACTTGCAAATATTTAGTCACTGAAAACCTTATGAATAGCACAGAAACACTGTCAGATATAGTGCTGGAAAATGAGCCCCTCAGGTTGGAAGGCACTCAAAATGTGACTGGGGAAGAGCTGCCTCCTCAAAGTAGAGTTGACCGTTGTAACATGACTGGAGTAAAGCCCGAGGGAGAAAAGCCCACGGGACCTTCATTTGTTGATGGGGCACAACTCAAAATGAAGAGAAATAGCTGTAAACATCCATTTAAAATTAGAACATGGAATGTATGAAGTATGAATCTGGGAAAATTGGAAGTTGTCAAAAATGAAATGGAACGCATAAACATTGATATCTTAGATATTAGTGAGCTGAAATGGACTGGTATTGGCCATTTTGAATCTGACAACCACATGGTTTACTATACCAGGAATGACAAATTGAAGAGGAGTGGTGTTGCATTAATCGTCAAAAAGAACATATCCAGATCAGTCATGAGGTACCACGCTGTCTGTGATAGGATAATATCCATGTGCCTACAGGGAAGCCCAGTTAATACCACTATTATTCAAATTTACG